ATTTTGAGAAAATGTATGTTATGTAATAATTGTTACTAAATTTAAGTATGAAACACACCCACAAAAATGTTTTACATGTTTTTTAAATTTATTTTATTGCAGTTTCCTTTTGTAAAGCACAAGTGTCCCATCACTTTTTTGAGACACTGTATATTTTTGAAAGTATAAATTATAGTGTGCAATTTGACATTTTTGTTTACATAGAAAATGGCGCTTTTAAAGAAGCAGTGGATGGGAGGTTGAGCTCTTTCCGAAGAAAATTATTCCTGTTTAGTTATTAAAAAAACGCTGTAAAAGCTATGGTTATTCAATATCTAAATGTATAAGAGGTAATATTATCAACAAGAAAAGAAACTTCAAAGTTTGGCTTCATGTGGATAAAATTTTTCAAATATAAAATGAAAAAAAAAAACCGGAATGTTAGAATGTTGCAAAGGTTAGAGCTTTAATGTTAAAAGAAAATGCGCCAAGTCAAAAGACAGTTACCAAAATTGTTAAAATGTTCGATGTCCACTGTAAACAAAGGGATTAATGCTGATTTGAATTTCAAAAAGGCGAAAATACGTAGCGTGCGTCGTCTTTCTGCACTACTTACTGCCGAACGTAGTTAGCGTTGCAGGATTCTGTATGAGAAACATTTATCCGGGCAAAAAATTAAAAAAATGTTATCAAAATAGACGAATCTTGGGTGTACGTAAATGACTGCACTAAACAGATATCTATTTGTTATCATCAAAGGAGAGAAAAAAATATTAAAAGATGTTTCAAAGAATCTAAAGAAAGTTTTCCAAAGGGATTTATGATTGTTGCTGGTTTTCCATATAAGGCAAATTAAAAATAGAGAGAGTGGAAAAACTATTAAGATCAACTCCACGTATTATCAGGAACATATTTTATATCTAATTTTCAAGTATGAAATACCTTCTCTATATGCACATTGCCATCTCTATATCCACAGTGCCACTGAATCAAGACAATGCAAGCAGCCACACGTCAAAATCCACTGTTAATTTCCTGGGAGAAAATGGAATAAGGAATGGGTATCGAAACCATACTTTTCAGTCGCATTCTTACTAAATCTTCTGATGTATCGCCCATGGATTTTTGTGCTTTTGGACTTTTAAAAAGCGGAATTGTCCAAATGTCGACCTACAATCCTACTCGCACTTTGCAACGCTGTTCAAACGGATAAAGTAATTCTTCCGATGTCATAAAAGGTTTTATTTATTGTCTTGGAAATTACGATGTAGAAAGATAGTAAAGAATGAGGGCTATTAAATAGAACATTTAAAACACAAAAATTTTAGGTAAAATAATTACGTAAATACAATAAAAATCATCTAAAAAATGTGAAAACGGCATTCGTAGCAACCAGAACCACTACCTATAGATATTTCGATGCCCAATGTGGTCTACTTAGCCCATTTGATTTACGTTAGATCAAGGCTTAATTTCTAAAAGTAAAAGTGCCGGAGCCCTATGAAAGATCGTCAGGAAAGAGGAACAATGGTAAATAAATAAACAAAATGACTATTAAATTTATTAATAATTAAAAAATTAAATAGTTAATGGTAATCAAATTAATTAATAACTATTTAATTGATATTAATAATTAATATGGTACTATTCCGTTTCAGGGACCGTAAAAAATTGCAGCGAAAATGTACGGGCAAAAGCGCCAAATCTAGCGTACGCGCTGATTTCAGATTGAGTAAGTTTATATAGTTCTATAGTTCTTAAGACGCCATTGAAATACTAGTTTAATTTTTAAATACTTTTTTGATTTTAAATCTTTTATTTTTTTTTTATATCCTATGGATTTAACAATTTGGGAATTGCCCATGATGAAAAGTTTGAAATAGAATTTTGGGTAAAGTGCAGAATCACCCACTGCTTGACGCATTTTTAAGAATTGCACATACTCGGTATCCATGTACTTATACACATCGACCTATTTTCACTTTAAAAAAAAAAAATCTCAGAATTGCACAAAAATGACACACCCTTGACTTATTCTATGTACACACCGACTTATTTTCACTTAAAAAGTAAAAGAAAATTGACAAAAATCCAATTGTTTTTACCCTTGTAAAAAGCGGCAAACAAATAAGTGGGCGATTCTGCACCTTTACCGATATTTTTTTTCAAAGAAAAGGCATCATTCATTATAGAAAATTATGTTTGAACAACCAACGAGATGAAATTGTGCTTTAGCGATAACTCGGTAGCGAAATAGCGATGGAGGCATCCATTCAGTTATGTTTAGCAATTTTTATATAAATTATAATCTGAAATAGTTATATACTCATATGCTTCCATTCAGTCGTGTTTAGCCTTTTTACTTCCTTGTACGAAGTAAAAAGTTTCCTTGTACGAAGTAAATAGGAAGTATTGTAATCGCGAAAAGTTTCAGGCAACATATTTCAACGAAAATATCCATTTTGACCGCTATCGAATGCAATTTAACGATGTTTTTGCTTGATATCTGTGCGTAAGGACAGAATAAAAGACACCTTTCCTCCAGAAAAATTATAAAACTGCTTTAAAATTAATTCTGAAGAGAATTTTTCGTGGCGTCTGTACGAACGTATGTGCGTACGTACGTATCTCGCATAACTCAAAAACGAGTAGCCTCAAGAACGTTGAAATTTTGTATATAGAACTGCTATAACATGTAGATGTGCACCTCGTATTTTGGTTGCAATCGGCCGCACCAAACGTATATAAATATATTTATATATATATCCACTCTATTACCCGGCTCAGTGATCTCAGTTTCTTTACTCTTATATGTTTGTAAATTGTACATTTTTTTCTTTAAAAATGATTGCATTATATTGTTTTTATCTTCCGGTTAAGGATTTTATGCCTTTAGTAAATCTGTGTGCAATATTTTTAGAATTATCAGCAATTTTTAAGTTGTTTAATTGCCGCTAAGCCTGTTTTTAATGGCGGCCATTGATGTTTACATTTGAAACAGGAGACTAGTGGATTTGTTGCCAATCTAGAGAAACTTAGCTTCCCAACAACAAAGATAACGCATTCATTTATTATTGCCAATTAAATCATGCTTAATTCTTTCTGGAATTTTTTTCGAGGAAACTAGTGTTTGAGATTTACTTCGTAATTTTTAATATAGATATTTTGAGTTTTTATGTATTTTTGCCTTGTCGCGAAGTGAGAGCTGAATGAATTAAATGAGAAATACTAAATCGTCTGTGAAAAACTGTTTCTTTTCTGTTTTGTTTGCTTAATTTCTTTCATACATCGTTTTAGCTTTATTATAGTATTTGAATAGAACATGTGGCAACGATAATTCTTCAAATGATATAAATTTTGTGCATTCAGAGTGTCGTCATAGTAAACAAATATAGTGAATTTTAAAGAGTGCATTTATTCTATTGTGGTTTATGCGCTGTCTACGAAGTAGATTTAATTCAATCCAATCAATTTAAATGAAATTCAAGAAAAAATGCGTATAGTTTAATATTCCGTACAAGGAAATCATGTGGTGTACACATCAGATTTTTTATATAAATTATAATAATAAAAAAGTATTATATGAAATTAACCTTTCATCTAAATTAAAACATCAATCTTAGATAGTTATTTACTATTATACTTCCTGTCTTGCATTAGGGTTGCCACAATTATTTTTGGCAGCACTGCCATCAACAATAGTTTGGCGATTTTTTTACGGCCCTCAAAACCGAATAGTACCATTAATATTTATTAATTTTTATTTAATTGATAATTATTGGTTAATTAATCCGTAATTAATTAATTAAATAATTAAGCTTAAATAAAATATAAAAAGATAAATTAAAATAATTAAAATAATAAGCGATTTTTAATATAATTTCATTGCTAAAAATAAAAATAAAATTTTCGAGATCAAAATTTCTACTGAAATTGTTCCGTTACCTAAACGAAGGGCCGGAGCCTTCTTATTTAGAACTCCGGTGGGCTTCAGCTAAAATTAAAATTTATTCCCAAAACTAAGAAGTAGCAGAGCCGGGCTCCGGAGCAATTTAAGCTGTACATCAGATGCATATATATGGGCTCCTAGCAATCTTTTTTACAATTTGGTTTCGAATTTATTTAGCAATAACTAGAAGTAGTTTTTTTTTTTTTTTTTCAGTAATTTATTTTTAAGCCGTCAGCGAGTATGAACATAATGATTTAAAAAATGAAAGGATCTTACGAAATTTGAAATGTAAGTTGCTGAAAATTAATTTTTTTATTTATTAAATTGTAACAATAAACGGTTTTATGTAACAATTTCATGAAAAAATATTTTACATATAAAAAAAGGAATAAAAAAATTGATTCGTGGCAAAAATTCCACTGAAATTATTTATATGTTAATACTGTAACAGAAATCATTCTCAAAGGATTAGAAATCAAAACTGGTCAAAATAAAACTGGTCATTAGAAGATATGGTTATGCACTATGTTATCACATACGAATCTATAACAGATGCAAGTCAGATGCAAACACTTAAAAGTTCAAAAGAATTGTCACTACCAAACTAAAAGTGAAATCATTGGAAACATTCAGATCTTGTTTATTATTTAACATCTAACTGAGTAGGAACGAGGAATTTTTTGCACGGTAACTGTAAAGAAAATACGTATGGTTTTGTTTTAGTTTTCTTGTTTCGTGAAAATAAATTGAACCATTTTCTTCTGTTAATGTATTTATCAAGATATCAATGGCAAATGCAGGTATGAAAATGCTTCAGATCTATCACCAAATGTATTTAGTGAGATCTACCAAAATGGACTCAATCCAAATCAAAGTTATTTAAGATAAAGTATTATTTTTACATAGTAAATCAAATTTTTTAGTATGCATTTATTTTGCCAAAGAACAACTTAAGAAAAGTACGCTATCAATCCTCAATGGAATTCATTCAAAAAAGTTTTGCAGTATTTATTTCTTGCGCAATTTTGTTGTTTCCCCCCTTTCGTTTAATAAAACAAAATTGAAAACTTACTTGGCCGGCAGTATCACAGATTTGCAGTCTTACAGGCTTATTGTTGACGCTAACTACAACTGAAAAAGATGCAATATATGTAAAAAATGCATTTTCATATATTAAATATTGCACTAATAATAAATTCCTATGGAATTTAATATCAAAAACATGAATTTTATGCAGTTGCTCTAAACATTATTTATAGTTTTTTAGAAAACAACTGTTTCAGAGTTATTTAAAATACTCCAGAAGCAATAAAAGGTATACACTACTATTCTCAATTAAAATGCTTCGTTTGATTTGAATTGATTAACTTGTGTAAAATAAATGATAAACAAGCCGATGGAATTTGAAATATATGAAAAAAATATTCCGTTTACTCTTCCACCTTGTTATTTCTTTTTGCGCGAACTCAAACGATTATTCGCGTATCAGTTCTTAAGATATTTCACGTTCAACTGTAACTTAGCATTTACAAAGTGAGGAACTCTACAATGTGTTTACAGTTTGGTTTGAATAAACTGAGAGTAGCTGAATTTATTAGTGTTATTTCAAATCGAAACTACACTTTCCATTTCTGCGCCATTCGAATATCGGAACGTTAAACACCATTGCAATATGAACTCTTAAGGGCAAATGGAAGGGGGCTAACGATTCGCAGTTCTGGACTTCAGTAGGCCAGAGCAACTGACCAGCAGAAGTAAGGTTCCGCTGACGTTACGTGAGAGCTTTCAAACCTGGTGACACTACACAGAAATAGCCCACCAGCGCCCAAGCGGTAAAGTCCCTGAACACTGGTAGTTCGGTCCGAAGTTCGAATCCCGCGAAGGGGCTGGCTGCATGGGCGTTTTCCCCATGCGTAACGTGTTAATACGAGCCAGTGTCCCGTAGAAATTCCTTCACGAAGCCATCCATCCCTTGTGTGCAGTGCCTTTGTGAGGAAAACGTAAATATTTAATAATTACCACAGAAATTAACATTTTTCACTGCCGACTACGATTTTATTAAATCCTATTAGGTAGCCGTGCATACTGAAATTTGTAGAGACATTAGGTATTTTGAAAGCAGGAAAGAGGAAAAATTAGCAACCGCCTTCTCCGGGAATCGAACCACGGACCTCTGGAATACCGGCCCAGCGTGCAGTACCACTACACCACGAAGGCACGCTAGGAAAAAGGGGACTATTTTTTTAGGGGACCCAATCGCCAAATACTGGGTGTGGAGAATCTTCATCCAACACCCTTTTAGTTCGGGCGCCACTGTAGAGACATTATATTTTTGGAAGCAAGCAAGATGAAAAATTAGCAACGCCTTCGCCGGGAATCGAACCACGAACCTCTGAATACCGGCTCAGTGTGCTGACCACTACACCACGAAGGCACGCTAGGAAGGCGGGAGAAATACCTTATATACTCCCCCTTTTAAATGCCGACTGGGGGTTTTAGGGAACGCAATCGCCAAATCTTGGGTGGGGAGAACCTCATTCAACACCCTTTTAAATCGGACGCCACTGTAGAGATATTAGGCTAATTGGAAAAGCCGGAGAGATGAAAAATTAGCAACGCCTTTGCCGGGAATCGAACCACGGACCTCTGAATATCGGCTTAGTGTGCTGACCACTGCACCACGAAGGCACGCTAGGAAGGATGGAGAAATAAATTTAGTTTTTTTTTTTTTTTTTTTTACATGGTAGCAAAGATGATTTTCGTTCCGATTTTATCTGCCACCAAAGGACAGATGCTGCAATTTTGCTATTTTTCTATTGTATTTAATTAAGTACATTACGTTTAAACACATCATTAATTATACTAAATTATATTTTTCACGATGATACCTATTCGTTCTTAATTACTTTCGCGTACCGTAAACGACATTGCAGATTCAAATGCAAAAATTTTTAAAAGGGAAGATCTACGGCAGGGTTTCTCAAACATTTTTCAGGTGAGAACCAATTTTATAAATTAGAATGTCGTTTGGACCATCTTACTCTTCGTCACCTTCGAAAGCAGTTGTTTAGCATACGTTACTTACTACCTGTGTTTTTAAGATGCAATTAATAAAATTAATCTCATTTTATATTGGTATTAATTAAGTTAATAGAAGAAAATTTATATCTGATTTTAATAATTTAAGAATACTAGAATTTGAATAATATTTATCTTATTGGCAAAAAATTGGTAAAAACAAATGTTGGTACTCACAATTAATCAGATGAATGACCCTGCCGACTCTTGCATAGCTATTCTATATTTGGATAAATGCTGGTAAGTAGCCCAGCAATCACAATGTAGCTCGGAAATGTAATGTAATGGAATATACGAGTGTGCTGACACCCTCCAGACCTCCATTATGTGTTAAAAATTTCAACGATTGGTCAGTGCAACTATGCTCCGCCCAGTTCTGTTACATGCCTCAACTACTACGCCCGCGATATTCTGTTAGCTTCAAGAGACGGAGGAAGGAGGACGCTACAGCCGTAGCACTTACGAGGAGAAAGTTATGCCAAAGTTTTTATGCTACAGATGTGCTAAAACAGCCAGCTTGGTAATGTCACTGAAAAGATTCTCAGCAATACTTTAGATGCTGTCTTCCTAAAAGATAATGTAGAAGACGATGGCCATTCACATTCCGATATTGGATACAATAATATCCCTCTAATTACTCCAGACGATGAGAAATTCCACTCACAAGATATTTAAAAAATTTATTAAGTATCTTCCGAATAATAAAACTCCGGGACCTGACGGATTAGACAACAGTATTATTAAGGTAATTCACCACGCAATGCCTTTTCTGTTCCACAAACTACTAAACCTCTGCCTCAAATTTCATGTCTTCCCGAATTGTCTTAAACAGAGACAGACGATACTATTCAAGAAAAATAATAAAGATCCTACGGATCCGGAAGCCTTCAGACCAATCAACATCTTACCTGCAATAGGTAAACTTCTGTAACGTGCAGTCGCTGACAGAATACGCCACCACTTAGAGAAAAACGGTACCATAAGCCCCAACCAATTCGGCTTCAGACCTCTCAAATCTACATCACATGCGATAGCAGAACTTCAAGAGCAGATCCATAGGAATAAATTTTCAGCTCTCCATACAGCAGTACTCTGTATGGATCTCAAAAATGCGTTTGACTCTGTGTGGTGGCCTGATATCCTTGAAGCCTTGCGCAACATTAAATGCCTTCAGAACATATTCAAACTAATGAATAGTTTCCTAACATAAACGATAATCATAAGCAATAACTGCATAGTAGAAAGAAGAATAACAAGGGACTGTCCACGGAGGTCTTGTCTAAGTGCAGACCTGTGGAACATCACCTTCAATTATATCACCTCTTACAAGTAGCCGAACCATACAAAACTCATCGCTTTTGCCGACGATCTGGCCTTTGTAACAAATGGGCATTCAAGAGACATACTAGAAAAGAATAGTAAAGAAACTCTCTCCATATTCCATTCTCTGTGCGTCAATCAAAAACTAATCATTTCAGAGCCCAAATCACATATTATTTTATTTCCAAAACCGGGCAAATCACTACAAAGGCTACCTTGCACTAAAATCAATAATAGAAGAATCAAGATCTCAAAAAAAAAATAAAATTTCTTGGATTGAAAATTGACCAAATTTTTCTTGGATCCCACACCTCATGGACATTCAGAAGAAAAAACCAAACTATTTTTAGAGCCCTCGCAAGGATAGAAGGCACAACGTGGGGCCTCAAGTCGAGGATGTAAAACATTCTTTATAATACCGTGATCAAAAAATAATCCTCTACGGGGCATCAGAATGTGCTCATCCCATGAAAGTGAAAAAGAAAAGACTTTTAGCTTCGATCCAACGCTTCTTCCTTTTACAAATATCAAAAGATATAGAACTACCTCAACGACAGCACTCTGTGTGTTAACGGGGAATCCCACCCCTCCATCCGAAAGCAAAAGAAGATGCAGACTTAGCCACGTTATTCCACCTCAAGAAAAACATAGAGGTAGAAGATCAAGACCTGTGCCCCCTTGACTTCGAACAGCCTTGAAATCCTTACCTAAGACACCCTGCAGTACACGCAAAACTCAGAATATCTATAAAAGAAGAAACCCTCAGTGCACCTACATTTTCAGTCGTGTACACAGATGGGTCAAAGATAAACGAAGAAGTAGGATGAGCGTTCTTAGCACTTGTCTCAGAACAAGAAACAACAGGATGGAGGGAAAGGACACCTAAGAAACAACAACAGCGTTTTCTAAGCTGAGCTTTCAGCCATAAAACACACTATTCTATGGTCTCATCAAAAGCATCTAACATATGTTACCATCTACAGCAGGGATGTCAAACTCATAGGTACACTTGGGCCAAACAAACAAGGTTTAACTTTAGGCGGGCCGAAAAAAAAAAAAAAAAAATCAATATTCATAGAAACGTAGATTTATTTCGAATAATATAATAATAAACATATATATATTTTATATAGAAAAGAACAAGAAAAATTTAATGTTTACGTCCTGATACTTGACATCTCTTCTCTGCTATTATCTTTCCTATTTCGGGAGAAATTTTGTTTGCATTGATAACTTTCAACGCTGACCCAAGGTGAGCATCATTAATACTGTTTCTAATAGGAGACTTATTACCTTTCATGACTGAAAATAACTGCTCGCACCGATAAGTGCTACCAAACATGGAAATAATTTCATATGCGAATTTTCGAGTATTTTCAAACCTGGCTGGTAAATATTTGTAAAATTCAGGCACGCCCACTTCAATGAATTTTGCTTTCAAATTTGAGTTGCATTGAATCTCGATCACCTCCATTTGCATATGGCTGGGTACTGAGTCAATACTTATTGAGAAAAATCGAAGAAAACAACAAAAAAAAATTGTCTTCGAGGGAGCTAAAATCATTAAACCTCGTTTAATTCAGTTGTTAAATTTACAATTTTTTCTGCGTATTTTTGATACGAACAAGTATCATCTAAACTTGATTTATTCATGCTGCACGTCGGGAAGTGCGTCAAATCTTCATTTTTAAGTTGGTTTTCCCAAAGAACTAGTTGACATTTGAATGCTTTAATTATGTCAAACATGTTCGTAATGATATGATCTTTTCCTATCGTACAAAACTATGATTGGAAAACTGAGACCATGAGTTCGGCCACATTCGGCTATCGGGGATGCGTTCAAGTTCTGAGTGCACGTGTCCCCCAAAAGCCGAAGGTAGCTGAACGCAAGTTACTCACACGCATTTGTAATTTAAGTAGTGTGTGTGTCAGCTCGCTGTGAGTAATCTAACAACACTGAATAAATTATCGTTAATTACTTAGCAGTAAACATTTCATTTTTTTCTTCATCGATATGTTATTTTATTATTATATATTATTATTTACCGATATATTGGCCGGGCCGCCAACAAAATATTTGTTGTGGGCTGCATGCGGCCCGCGGGTCGCGAGTTTGACATCCTTGATCTACAGTGATAGGCCAAGCGGCAATTAAAGCTGTTGATGATGCAAGAAACAAATCATCAACAGTACAAGATATCTACGATTTAATATCACAGCACGACAGGACATCTATAAAAATAAAGTGGGTAAAAGCGCATGCAAGACAAGCCCAAAATGAAAGGGCAGATGCGCTTGCTAGGAATGCAGCTCAAGACTCATCACTACCTTCAATCAATGTCCCATTCCCAAAATCGTATGCGAAACATATGTTGAAAAAAATTACATTAAAGAAATTTCAAGCTGAATGGGAAAATGCAGAAGTATGTAGAAGTCTTCTACATTAACTTCTACAAGAAATCCACCATATGATCCAATCTCATATAACTTCTTCATCAGCATCTTCTTATCTGGACATGGTCCTCTACGCACGTACTACTTTGCACGAAATTTGAGCGATTCAGACAAGTGCGTATGTGAGGAAAAGGGAGACCCAAAACAATATATTTTCAAGTGCTAGCTCACAAAAGAACTGCACTGCAAAGAAAGGTCACAAATTCCGCCTGAGTACATTAAATGCTTACTAACGATCCCTCAATTACAACAAAAGGTTTCCTTAATTATGAAGAAACTTTTCTCATATAAAAGAGAAGACATATGTCAAGATGTTATCGCATCTGTATTAATACCTCTTATTCCGTAGCTTACAAAAATAATGCAATATTTCAGAAATATTGCGAATGTCTGAAACAGGCTAAATATGGTATGAATTGTTTTTACAAAATAACTACATTAAGAATTTGGACTGTATTAGGAGATGAGAGGTAAAAAATCTTGTAATAATTAAATCATTAATTAAGAAAAATAATATACGACTTATTAGATATATTAGTGTAAGTGTAAGTATTATGTGATTTTCTAATGTATATATTCTGTATTTAGGATACATTAATTTACAAAAAATATAATGTAAGACTTCAGTGCTGATGCAATTGTGTGTAACTAGTTAAAAAATGAAAGGAAATGTATTAACAAGATAATTTGCCTTAGGAATATAACAAAGCACTATGAGATGCACAAAACATTCTTCACCAATTAGTTCCTTAAAAAGATATTTAATGTAATTCGATGTAATTAGATATACTAATGTAAATATATTGTTTGTATGAAGTACAATGTACAATGTCCGATGTACAATGAAAGTTCGTATGATGTATGTTCGAAGTAATTATGTTATATTAATCTGCCATAATCCAACTTTTGTTTATAGGTTAATTTCTTTGTAATTGCATACTGTGTCTTTGAAATTGTATATTCAATACGTAAGTCTAGTATAAAGTTTCTATGTAAATGTCTTGCTAGGCTGGCATCCAGTGCGGGCCAACCGAAAGCCAGCGGGTACAGTAGTGCGGCGGAGCAGTACCTGTAAAAGTCACTGACGAAGTTCTGGTGCTCCGTCCACTTTCCCTGTCCCTGCTACAGATGTGCTAAATTGCTTTTACGATAAGAAAGTTATGCTTTAGATATGTTAAATCCCTATTTCGCCCAAGTTATGCCACTGTTACATACTGCCACACTGGATGTCATTCAGCCCTTCAAGTGCACAGGTTTGTTCTAACATTTGGATTTATTTTTCACTTTTAGGATACCTACTAAGAACAGACATAGATAGGTAAAGACTTCAGGGTGGTATACATATTAAATAAGCGAAGACCTATGACCTGTGACAAATTCAGATGTGTCATAGGGAAGTCTGGTCTTCTTCTAGGTCCTCCGAGGTTGTGGCGTAATGGAAGTAGATAGCGTCTGCAGAATGATTTAAATGCTGGTGAGACTGAAATCTTTTTCGGCATTAGGGTCAGCAATTCTCTCAATCAACAGTTTATTTAATTCTACGAAATCAAAATGTCAGGTCTACATTACGACTAAAGACCATATGAAAGATGTATTTGTTACAAAACAGGAAAGATGGATTTTCCATCATTTTTAAATTTTTGTAAATTTGAAACTTAATTTGGTATTTTGAGATTAATCAACTAGCAAACATGGATGGCATTTATGTTGAATGATGATTTGAAAGAATTGCTTTTATTAATCATTTTCAAGTAACAATTAAATTTTATGCCCTTTAATTTTTCTGAGCAGTGTGTAAGTTTCTAAGCAGTGTCTGAGCAGTAAAAAAGCTGGTATTTGGTATCAAATGACACCTCAAATAGACACTTCCCTCGTCTCCTCTTAATTTAGTTATATTTTCTTTAAAAACCTTCTCCCCCCCCCTTTTTTTTTTTTTTTTTGATAGAACAAATAACAGATATAAACAAAGCATTAAGCGCTAATATATGAACGTATACATTATACATTCACAAAAATAGCATTTGTTTTTTGATAAATTATTCAAAATTTTAATTAACACTTGAAACTTGAATTTACATATTACAACTGGTGGCACTTCTTTCTTTATAGAATTAGCTTTTAAATAAGAAATATGAATAAGGAAATACTTTAATAAGGAAATCCATTCTTACATGCGCCCAACAACAGCACGAATTCCTTTTTAAATCGGTAACTAATCTCGCTCCAAAATTTTAAATTATCTAAATTTTCTATGTATAATTTGATTTTTAAATCAGTTGGTTTCCATATCCTTAACGCGATAGTCAGATGAAAGTATAAAATAATAGTGAATATTTGAGGTTTTTGTTGTCATATAATTGAGAATAAGACTCTTTAATAGGCATAAAGATTGTGCATAGTTTTCTTGGAATTTAAAGAACATAACAGAAAGAATTTATTTCAAGTAGCTATAAATTTTCCTTGTCTTGAAAAAAAATTAAGCGTTGCATATTGATATAAAAGAGCTATTTATAAGTAAAAAGGATGAGCATATTGTTTAACATCAAGTGGCGATACAAACTGAATGCACTTCAAGGACACGCACGCCATTCGCCCTATTCTTTTTCCAAATGAAGAACTATGGCATTATATGCCATATCATTATTTAATGAGGGGAAAAAAAGGCACAATTAAAGAAACTACATGTGTTTTATTTCTTTGCATGAAAAGTAATGCAAAAAGTAAAGTTATTTATGTAGAAAAATATTATAAAATTTATTTGCGCGTCACGTATCTAGACAGCACTTTCGGATTCATTACGAATAAAATCAGCCAATCGTCTGTTTCTCCTAACTTGCATTTATTCAGTCATGCGAGATGCTTCTCAACGATATGTATGAAAACTATGAATATATAGAAAAAGTATAATAAAACATTTACTATTTCCGTTTCGTACCACCTTTTCTGTCCGATATGGAAAATACCGTATATTTCCTTCCAACTGGAAACAATTACTTTCGTAAATGATTTTTATGAGGTACATGGAAGATAAAAATGTAAAACTTTACTGTTCAGATGTTAAATAATGAAAGCAAAATCCTCTCTTCATAAAGTTCCTTTCTTGTTTATAAACTAAATTAAATAATAATGATATTTAAAAAATAATAATAATATTTTCAAATATTTTGAAAATAATTTGTTGAGAATAAAATTTTAATCCAAAGAATTAATACTTGTTACATAAAATAATTCTACGATCATATCTCCATCATTATTCCAGAAAAAAAGTATTAAATTTTTAATTTATTCGCCTTCTACTACTCGATATTTAAAAATATTGTCAGATTAACTGTGCTGCGTACTTGAATTAGAAATACGTACATTATTAATTTTTATTAGCCCTCCCTCTCTCAGATATTTCTATTCTATCCCCAAATAAATTATAAAGCAATTTTAAAAAATACAATAATAATATAAAACTTCCTGAATAAATTTCATAATAATTTTAAAAAGCATTTACGAAATTCAGAAATTAAATTTCAAAGAAACATACCTGAATATTTATCATATGCAGTCGGCCTGTATTCCTTAGGATATGCATTTGTAGTGTAACCGATAATTAAACTTGTTTTACCCACAGCACCATCCCCGACTAAGACACATTTTACGCGGCATACACATTTGTTAGTCGTGCCCTCAGCTTTCTCTGAGTACGTACAATTCGATGCCGTTGCAGTGGATGTAGAAAGTATTCTACTCATTTTAAAGAACAAATCACAATCACAGTTATTAAATATAGCATATGATGCTGATTTTCGAAAATGATGGTCGAATACGAAACTTTCTTAAGAATACAAAGCACGAAAGCATTGTATTCAAACAATTCTCATTTATACATAAATACGAACCAGTCTTCTGAATTTTCAGATTTAATTCTCAGTATTTCCCGCAGACAACTGTTTGCGTAACCGGTTTATGACGTCTATCCCCCCACATCGCCTTGCGCCAGGTGTTGCTATTTGTTCAAGTCAGTTTAAAAATAAGGTTAAAAATAAATTCGAAAGGGAAGTTCTTGGCACGTACAACAGTTTTTTAATCATATGGAAGAACACTGTATCCTTTTCAAATTAATAAATAAGTAAAATATGTATAAGTTCTCGTTTTCACTTCATAATATAATGCAATAAATTTTCATTCTTTATAAACTTATACTCTTTTGATTTATGTAATTAGATATAATATGTTCTATGAGCGTTACATTGCCGTACTTCAAACAAATTCTGTGCAGATGTTTTTATTGTAAGATAAAATTTCAGGTAATGCTCAGTTTCGAAAAAACAGTTTTTTCCTTCACAACAGAAAAACACAGTTATTACTTTAAATCTATAAAATGCAAGTCCATTTTAAGGAGAGCCATTTCGGTAGCAAGATAAATTACACGAGAAGTACAGTTTCCAGGATAATCTGTCTTGTATTCGACATAATAGGTATGTTCGTTTAATCTTACAGATTACAGTACTTTTCTAAAAATTATCTCATTTTATTTCTAAATAAAATCTTACTTTCATTTTTAATTTACAGTGGAACTGCAGTAATTTGATTAAACCACAGCCTAATCCATTAGTATTAGATAATTTTTCTTACGTTGTTTAAATAATATGCATTTACTGTCATGTGAACTACAAATTAGTGAATTTTACTTCCTTATTTATCATATTTTACTCTTAAAAAATAATTATACTTTAAAAATATAATTAATACTTTAATGTAGGGAGGGAGGAAATGGCGCTTTTCGCTGAAATATAAAAATGTTCTTGTAAAATACGAGGCAGTGTATACAAGAATATTACACAAATCAAACGATTTGCTACTGCACTGCATACTATGGAAAAAAAAAAAAAAAAAAGTCGTATGATACCTTTTTAACATTATTCAACGAAAAAGCGGGTAATAAACTTTATAATATTCCATTATCAAATGATACAGTAAGTTGACAAATTCATGAAATGGCAAATTCTATAAAAGAGACAATTATTAAATCACCTGGTTTGTTTATACTGTTTATGACAGGAGCTTTTGCGATGAGTGAATGGATGGATAGATGGACGAACAGACCGACGGACGGATGTATGGAGGGAGGGATTGTTAATTACCAGGAAAAATATTCACCAATTACCTTGTTTTTAAGCAGTGTAGGGAATTAGTTCATTTGATTACGGAAATCAAATAAGCATTTCAAATAAGAGAAATACGGTTTGAAACAGAAAGAAAATGTTTTCTTTTAAATTATTCTTACATTTGCATTATTCTATTATTTGCGCATTTTGCTGCTCTCTTAACAGTTAAAGTTTAAATTCAATTGTACAAAAGCATAGCAAATTTGCATGAATTAATAATTCCAGTTCATAAAATAATTATTGTTACCAAAGCTGAATTTCGGGAAATCTGTATTACTTGTTTCTGGGAATATGCGCTGTGCTATAACCTTCCTAGCAAGGCTTAAATACAGTTAATAGCTCATACGATAAACTGAACGAAACTCAGCTGTTTAAATGATAAACTTCATATATTGCATATTTTACTCTACACATACGGTAAGTTACTCACTGTATATACTCCCCGTTACTCACAAAGTATAATATACTTACGTTATACTGACGCGAATGATGGCAGTAATAATTAATATATAATAATTAAAGCGAAATTTAATATTTAGCATGGAATGCTTTAAAGAATGAAATAATTATCGTCAAGAATGTCAATTATCGTCAAATATCGTCGTAAATAAAATAAGATTCTTTGTGAACAACAAATTTATTCAAGTATAGAATGAAATCAGAGCCATTTTTTTTTTACTTGGACATACGGAATTATTAGTCGAAAGGGCGTTAGCCCAGAAGGGCTATTAATATCGTTTTGTCATTTGCGTTGGTTCACTATAAATGTCGGTTCACTTTTCAAATTGTTGCTACCAAATATTAGAGCCCTGTGTTATATTTAAAGAAATTAAATAATGAAGAATCTGCATAAATATATGTATGTTTTTCTCATTGTTGATAAAACAACGGTACCGAAAGCCATCAAATTTTGAATAACGTACGTCTCCACCCGAATATGGGCATCTGAAAGCCCGAATTTGGTACATGAAATTTGTTTTATTATCGATTTTGTATTTTGTAACAATTTAACAAATTTTGGATTAACAAACTCAACAATTTCAAAGTGAGCGATGGCAACACTGCACGGAATATATATATAGATAGATATAGATATAGATATAGATATCCAGCCCGCGAGACGATGTATCGGAAATTCTAAAGATATGCTCATTTTAAAATTATTTTGCGATATTGCTGTTTAATTGAATTTTATGGTTTAAGTACGAAGAACCTGGTATTTAATAAATAAAGGTAGTACACAAAACGTAAAAAAGACCTTTCTTTGGGCGTAATGTAAAATCTGAAAGCCTTCAGATTTTTAGTCTAAACGGGCTTTGCCCCTGAAGTACAATTGTTTCCGTTTTGCGATTTTGCGTTGAATCACTATAAATGTCCGTTTCACTTTTTAAACTTTTGCCACCAAATGTTAGAGTCTTGCATTATATTTGAAGAAAATAAATAATGAAAAATCTGCATAAATGTATGTTTATTTCTGGCATTGTGATAAAACAACGGTACATAGAGCCATCGAATTTTGAAAGACGCAATCCTCCTACGAATATGGTCATGTGGAAGATCGATTTTGAAACTTGGAATTTGTTTTAACAATAGACACAATCGCGCCGTTCTAAATGATAAACAACCACCGAAATTCACGTTGGGAATCTGCACAATGTTTCTGACGAATGCGCTCTGCTCTAAATGATAAAAACCGGCTGAAATGCAAGTTAATATTTCTCGTTATAGAGGAGCGTCTATCTAATACAATAGGCGCAAGTTAAGGAGCTACACAATGTTTCTGACGCATTCTCACTGCTCTAAATGAAGAACCCTAGCTGAAATGCAAGTTAACAAGCTGTACAATTTTTCTGTTTATAGAAGAGTGGTTAACTTACAATATATATGTATTAGCATTGTTATAAATAACGAACACCCTCGAAAATGGAAGCTGAGGAGCTGCGAAAAGATTCTGACGAATTCGCACTGATCTAAATGAGGAAAACTAGCTGAAACGCAGGTTGAGGTGCTGCGTAATATTTCTAGTGTTTGACAAGAGGCTAACTAAAGCAACAGAAGCATTTGTAACGTTCTAAATGATGAACACAAGCTGAAATTCCAACTGAGGAGGGAAACAGTGTTTCTGACGCATTTCCAAAGTCCTGGCTCTAAATGATGAAAGCCATCTGAAATGCAAGTTGAGGAGCTGCAGAGTATTTCGGGTTATAGAAGACAGACTATGCAATACAATTGACGCTTTCGCGCTGTTCTAAATGATGAACACCCGCCGAAATTCACGTTGAGTAGCTGCACAATGTTTCTGATGAATTCGCACTGATCTAAATGATAAACACCGGCTGAAATGCAAGTTGAGGAGCTCCACCATGTTTCGGGTTATAGAGGAGCGTCTATCTAATACAACAGATTCATTTGCACTGTTGTAAATGATCAACATTCTCCTATCTACGTTGAGGAGCTGCGAAATGCTTCTGACGAATTCGCCTTGATCCTAAATGATAAACACCGGCTGAAATGCAAACTGAGGGGCTTCACAATGTTTCTGATTATAGAGGAGTGTCTATCTAATACAACAGGCGCAAGTTGCGGGGCTGAACAGTGCTTCGGACGCATTCTCACTGTTCTAAATGATGAACACCTGCCGAAATTCACGCTGAGGCGCTATCTGAGAAAATATTAATTTTTGGTAAATTGTTATCGATTGAGTATTCTATTGCTATTCGAATTGCGTGTAGTTCTGCTTGGAAGATATTATTTTCCTTATCGATTCGATTTTGGAGAGTTATTTTCTGGGTTTGATCTATTTGTATTATACATGCACAGCCGACTCCTAAGTCCATTTTCGATCCATCTGTATAAATTATTGGTGGAGATATATGACTAGTTGGAGGTTTTATTGTGCAATAAGGCAGGATGTCTTCTGTAGGGGTTGACTGAAGTTTCAGAATTGTTTGGATTAAATATTTCATCATGTAATATGCAGTATTTTTTTAAATTTGAGGACTGTGGCTTTTGCATGTTCAGTTTGTGCTAAAATATGAATAGGTGCTATTCCTGAAAGTACACATAGGGCAGTATTTGATGCTGTTTAACATTTTGTGATGCGGAGAAGGAATTGACGTTGTATGTTGCAGTTGTTTTTGTTTCCGAACAATCATAGGCTGCGCCCAAATTTCTGCACAATATAAGACTATTTTTGTTATTTAAAAAATATTGTTAAAAAAAGTATACTATCAGCTAAAAAAAAAAATAATAAATTTTTTGAATATGTTTTTTGAACAATATTTTTTGAATATGAGGATTTAGTCCTTGGACATAACGAAAGTTGTTTGTTATTTTTTGTGTTTTAGTTCTGATATATTTGAAATGTTCAATCCAGTTGAGGTTTTTATCAATGATTATGCCTAGAAATTTAAGTTTTTGGAACTATTTTTAGTCTATTACTTTCTATTGAAAATTTTGGTAGACGAGTGATTTTTTTGGGATATTTTATGGAAAATTATAGCTTTTGATTTTTCTTCACTTATTGTCGGTTTCAATTTGTTGCATTCAGTTTTAAAAAGAAGAAGAGTTTAATTTACATTACTTTCCAGAATATTTCTTCTTCTACCAGTGATTACAAAAGCTGCGTCGTCAGCAAAAGCCATTCATCACAAAAGTAGCGTCGTTTGTGTATGGTTCGGCCATTTGAAAGATGTTATTAAGTTAAAAGTAAGGTTTCAAAAGTCATCATTAAGGCAGGAACCTTGTGGACAACCTCTTTGTTGAGTATATTCTATTATCTTATT